GCCTCCTGGGTTCAGGCAATTCTCCTGCCTCAGCCTCCTGAGTAGCTGGGATTACAGGCACGCGCCACCATGCCCAGCTAATTTTTTGTATTTTTAGTAGAGACGGGGTTTCACCATGCTGACCAGGATGGTCTCGATCTCTTGACCTCGTGATCCACCCACCTTGGCCTCCCAAAGTGCTGGGATTACAGGCGTGAGCCACCGCGCCCGGCCTGCCAAGTTGTATTTTTTAAGCTGGGTGGTGGGAACATAGGCATTTGTTTTATTGTTTATGCCTTTTTAATGTATTAAATACCACACAATAGTATTTTTTTTTTTTTTTTTTGAGACAGTTTCACTCTTGTCCTCCATGCTGGAGTGCAATGGCACGATCTCGGCTCACTGCAGCCTCTGCTTCCTGGATTCAAGCAATTCTCCTGCCTCAGCCTCCTGAGTAGCTTAGATGATAGGCGCTCACCACATGCCCGGCTAATTTTTATATTTTTAGTAGAGACGGGGTTTCGCCATGCTGGCCAGGCTGGTCTCAAACTCCTGACCTCAAGTAATCTGCCTGCCTCGGGCTCCTAAAGTGCTAGGAATACAGGTGTGAGCCACCATATCTGGCCACACAATAGCATTTTTAAACACCACCTCCAATCCCCAAACACAAAGATGCATGGGCTATAAATGAACTTGGATAATGGGCCAGTGCCTGACGGGTAAAGTGGAGAGAGGGTCCTTGAGTCATGGCTGTTCTAGAGCAGGAGAGAGACTAATCCTTAGAGAGACTCAATCCAGCAGTGGGTAAGATGGATAAAAATCGGCAGCCACGGTAGGAAACATTATTGTAATCTAACTCTAAAAGGAGGCTCCGTTTCAACCTTTCCACTATCTTTCTCCATTTGCTTTCAAACATTCTTTTTTTTTTTTGAAATGGTGTCTTGCTCTGCCACCCAGGCTGGAGTGCCATGGTGCGATCTCAGCTCACTGCAAACTCTGCCTCTCAGGTTGAAGTCCCCAAGTAGCTGGGATTATGGGTGCCTGCCACCATACCCGGCTAATTTTTATATTTTTAGACAGAGTTTCTCCATGTTGGCCAGGATGGTTTCAAACTCCTGACCTCAGGTCATCCGCCGTCTTCAGCCTCTCAAAGTGCTGGGATTTCAGGTGTAAGCCACTGCACCCAGCCACTCTCTAACATTCTCATATCCACCATCCTTTTAGGAACAAAATCCACCAAATACTCTTGTGTGCTTTGGTTTTGCCACCCTCCTAGACCTTGGGGTCTTATTTTATGTCCCGTTTCACTGCTAAAGTCCTCAGCGAGTGTTCTGGTCTCACCGTTTCTGGTTTTGTGGCTGTTGCTTTAAACTCTGTAAACCACAGAAATCCTACCTCTTACCACGTACAAAAACCACATCCAGGCCGGGTGCAGTGGCTCATGCCTATAATCCGAGCACCTTGGGAGGCCCAGGAGGGCAGATCACCTGAGGTCAGGAGTTCAAGAGCAGCCTGAACAACGTTGTTGAGAACCTGTCTCTACTAAAAATACAAAAATCGGCTTGGCGTGGTGGCGCATGCCCATAATTGCAGCTATACAGGAGGCTGAGGCAGGAGAATCGCTTGAACCTGAGAGGCGGAGGTTGCAGTGAACTGAGATCATGCCATTGCCCTCCAGCCTGGGTGACAACAGCGAAACTCCATCTCAAAAACAAAACAAAAACAAAAGCCACATCCAAAAAGATCACTGGTATCCTCTCTCCTGTAATTTCTCTGTAATGTCCATGAAGAGTCGAACTCTGTAAAATACTTGAAGAGATTTATTCTGAGCCAAAATGAGTGACTGATGTCCTGGGACACAGCCCCAGGAAATGGTGAGAACGTATGCCCAAGGTGCTCAGGCTGCTGTTTGCTACATTTTAGGGAGATATGAGACATCAATCAACATAGTCAGATGTGTATTGTTTTGGTTTGGAAAGGAAGGAGAGCTGGAATGGGATGGGGTGGCTTCTAGGTCACAGGTGGACTCAAGCATTTTTCATTGGCAATTGGCTGAAAGAGTTTATCTAAAGACCTGGAAGTGTCTGGGTTAAGATACAGGATTATGAAGACCTGGGTTATTACGCAGAGGAAGCCTCCAGGTAGTAAGCTTCAGAGACAATAGATTGTCAGTGTCTCTTAGCAGAGTTAAAAGTCTGCTCTGTCAGTCTTATGTTAACACTGGCTGGTTGTGCCTAATTTCTGAAAGGCAGGAGGGTGTAATGAGGATGTCCCCGCTCCCTTCCCATCATGGCCTGAACTAGTTTTTCAGGTTAACTTTGGAATGCCATCAGCTGAGAGGAAGGGTGTATTCAGATGGTTGGGAGTCTGATAATGTATTTTTGGTTTACATTAACCACCATGGAATGAGATGCCTTCCTTTTTCTGAATACTCGTCTATTTCTATTATAATTCAGGGTCAGTCCCTTGTCTGGGATGTCCTTCTATGTTGATCCATGGTCTCCTTTCTTTTCCTCTTTCTCTCTCTGCCTCACCTACCTCCTGCCCCCCCAACCTTCCCCCAGGCACTTTGTTCCTTTCCTCATTGTCTTTCTCTTATAAAGGAATCAAAGTTTAGAGATAGGACACCAAGCAGTGGCAGTTGTGCTAGGCTGGCAATGGTAAGGCCTGGGACTTCCTCCTGTTCAGGCTCATCGCCAGCTGTGTGAGCTTACCCAAGCCACATCACCTTGCTTTAACACATCATCTTTTTTTTTTTTTTTTTTTTTTGAGACGGAGTTTCGCTCTTGTTACCCAGGCTGGAGTGCAATGGCGCAATCTCGGCTCACCGCAACCTCCGCCTCCTGGGTTCAGGCAATTCTCCTGCCTCAGCCTCCTGAGTAGCTGGGATTACAGGCACGTGCCACCATGCCCAGCTAATGTTTTGTATTTTTAGTGGAGACGGGGTTTCACCATGTTGACCAGGAGGGTCTCGATCTCTTGACCTCGTGATCCACCCGCCTCGGCCTCCCAAAGTGCTGGGATTACAGGCGTGAGCCACTGCACCCGGCCAACACATCACCTTTAACAAGATTCCTCACCTGTAAACAGCCAGGCTGTGTCCTCAACTCTGGAAATCTACAACGCCTTTAAAGAATTGCAACCAACCCCCCGTGACACACAATTTACCTATAACAAACCTGCACACATATCCTGAACCTAAAATAAAAACAGGAATTCTGACTCCTGAGCCCAGCAGTGTGGTCTCCGCTGGCTTGAGAGTTAAGTCTCCAGTTAAATAGTTAAGTGTCCAGGTGGTTATTAAATACAATTATTTTTAGGGGCTAACTCATACAAATTTACAATTAAGTTATATTAAGAACAAAAGTAATACATGTTTTTTTGGGACAGGCACTCTGTCACCCAGGCTGGAGTACAGTGGCACAATCTTGGCTTGCTGCAGCTTCCTCCTCCTGAGTTCAAGTGATTCTCCTGCCTCAGCCTTCCAAGCAGCTGGGAATTACAGGTGTACCTGCCATACCTGGCCAATTTTTACATTTTTCGTAGAGACAGGGTTTCACCATGTTGGCCAGGCTGGTCTCGAACTCCTGACGTCAGGTGATCCGCCCACCTTGGCCTCCTAAAGCGCTAGGATTACAGTTGTGAGCCACCATGCCCAGCCCAAAAGTAATAAATATTCAAAATTCATCACTTCCTATTTAACATTAAAAAAATCTATCTGTAGTCTCAAAGCCGTTTACAGCTATTGTGTCTGTAAGGTGGAAATCACCGCTGTGCTACTGTGCATGGCCTTCTAAGCTCATGTTCAGGGACATCACCTTGGGAGCTGGGAGTCAGCCTTGGGGGCTCTGTCGTCATCAGGGAAGTCAGCAATGGCTACAAGTCAGGGCTTGATTTATTGTTTTATTGTTGAGACTGAGGACATTCTTGGATAAAATGCTGACTGCAAATTAAAAGCGTGTAATGTCTAACCATTACATTACAAATAGCACAGGAAGATAAGGAAACGTCTTCCGTGCTCCAGCTGTCATAAAAGTCAGCAAAAAGTTTGCTCACATTATGGACAAATAAGTTCTGACATACATCTTTGTTTCACATCTGTATTACTCACTCATGTGAACAAAAATATCAACATTCATGTTGGGAAGAGACTTAGTCAGCTGAAACCATAGATTGGCTACGAGTCCAGAGTTTGGCAAAAAAATAATGAAAGTATTCCAAGAGAACCAATTCCGTATCTGCGGAGTTGATACTAAGGTCTACTATAGGCTTCATTATTTGTAATTTGTGGATGCTATGGGCTGAATTCTGTTTTCCTCAAATTCATATGTTTAAGTCCCAGTATGTCAGGATGGTATTGTATTTGAAGACAGGGTCTTTAAAGAGATAATTGGGCCAGATGTGGTGATTCATGCCTGTAATTCCAGCTCTTTGGGAGGCCGAGGTGGGTGGATCGCTTGAGCCCAGGAATTCAAGGCCAGCCTGGGCAACAAGGTAAAACCCCATCTCTACAAAAAATATAAAAAGTTAGCCAGGCATGGTGGCACATTCCTGTAGTGTCAGCTACCCAGGAGGCTAAGGGGGAGGATCACCTGAGCCTGGGAGTTTGAGGCCACAGTGAGCTGTGATCATGCCACTGTACTCCAGCCTGGGTGACAGAGTAAGACTATATCTCAACAACAGCAGCAAAAAGGTAATTAGGCCCAAATGAGATAAGCTGGGTGGGGGTTGTCTGAACCAATATCGGTGCCCTTATAAGAAAAGGGGCTTGCAACATAGACATGCATGGAGGGAAGACCATGTGGGGACACAACAAGGAGGTCACCTAGGGGACAAGGAGAGAGGCTGCAGAAGAAGCCAACCCTTCCAGTGCCTTAATCTCATGCAAACAGCCTCCAGAACTGGGAGAAGATGAATTCCTGTTGTTTAAGCCACCCAGTCTGTGATACTTCATATGGCAGCCCTAGCAAGCGAGTCCAGTGTCCCGCACGGTTTATCAGTGTCATCGATACTGATCTCCACCTGGTGAGTGTTATAGGTTAAATGCATCTCCCCGGAAGATATGTTGAGCTGAACGTGATAGCTCACGCCTGTAATCCCAGCACTTTGGGAGGCTGAGGCGGGTGGATCACGAGGCCAGAAGCTCAAGACCAGCCTGGTCAATATGGTGAAACACTGTCTCTACTGAAAATATAAAAATTAGCTGGGCGTGGTGGTGCATCCTGTAGTCCCTGATGCTGGGGAGGCTGAGACAGGAGAATCTCTTGAACCTGGGAAGGGGAGGTTGCGGTGAGCCAAGATCATGCCACTGCACTCCAGCCTGGGAAGCAGAGTGAGACTCTGTTTCAAGATGATTCCTCAAGGACCTAGAAATAGAAATTCCATTTGACCCAGCAATCCCATTACTGGGTATATATCCAAAGGATTATAAATTGTTCTACTATAAGGACACATGCACACAAATGTTCATTGCAGCACTGTTTACAATAGCAAAGACCTGGAACCAACCCAAATGCCCATCGATGATAGACTAGACAGGGAAAATGTGGCACATATACACCATGGAATACTATGCAGCCATCAAAAATGATGAGTTCGTGTCCTTTGTAGGGACATGGATGAACCTGGAAACCATCATTCTCAGCAAACTGACACAAGAACAGAAAATCAAACACTGCATGTTCTCACTCGTAGGTGGGTGTTGAACAATGAGAACACATGGACACAGGGAGGGGAGCATCATACACTGGGGTCTGTCGGGGGGAAATTGGGGAGGGACGGCAGGGGGTGGGGTGTTGGGGAGAGATAGCATGGGGAGAAATGCCAGATATAGGTGATAGGGAGGAAGGCAGCAAATCACACTGCCACGTGTGTACCTATGCAACAATCCTGCATGTTCTTCACATGTACCCCAAAACCTAAAATTAAAAAAAAAACCAAAACCATAACCCCCTGCTTCCTGTGAATGTTCAGTTAGTTGGAACCAAGGTCTTTGCAGAGACGGTAGGAGGAGGTAATATAGGCTACGGCGGGACCTAATCCCAGTGATTGGTGTTCTGATAAGAGGGATATTTGGACACAGACACACAGGGAGAACGTTCCATAAGGATGGAGACAGAGATTGGGGTGACGCCTCCTGGCCTAGGGCTGCTGGCAACCTCTAGAAGCTAGGAGAAGAACATGGGACTGGTTCTTCCTCAGAGCTTCCGAAGGGAGCCAATGCTGCTCAGCCCTTGGCCTCATATTTCTAGTCCTCAGAACTGTGAGACAACGCATCTGTTTTTTAAATTTTGAGACAGTTTCACTCTTGTTGCCCAAGCTGGACTGCAATGGCACGATCTCGGCTCACTGCAACCTCCACCTCCCAGGTTTAAGTGATTCTCCTGCCTCAGCCTCCCCAGTAGCTGAGATTACAGGTGCCTGCCACAATCCCCACCTAATTTTTTTTATTTTTAGTTGAGATAGGGTTTCATCATGTTGGTCAGGCTGGTCTCGAACTCCTGACCTCAGGTGATCCACCCCGCTCGGCCTCCCAAAGTGCTAGGATTACAGGCATGAGCCACTGTGCCTGGCCGTACATCTGTTGTTTTAAGCCACCCAGTTAGTGGAAAATTCTGAAGACAGCACTAGCAAACCAATACAAAGAACTGTGTATTAACGCCCCTTAAACACACTCTAGATTCAAAAGCATGCATTTGTCTTCCAAACAGGGGAGAAAAAAAAGTACTGTGTCTCAGGTAGGTCCAGGGACTCCTTTTCCTTGAGATGTAGCAGAGCTTTTTTGGGGAGGGGGAGACAGAGTCTCACTCTGTCACCAGGTTGGAGTGCAGTTGCATGATCTTGGCTCACTGCAACCTCTACCTCTTGGGTTCAAGGGATTCTTCTGCCTCAGCCTCTGAAGTAGCTGGGATTACAGGCGCTTGCCATCATGCCCTGCTAATTTTTGTATTTTTAGTAGAGACAGGGTTTTGCCATGTTGGCCAGGCTGCTCTTGAACTCCTGACCTCAGGTGATCTGCCTGCCTTGGCCTCCCAAAGTGCTGGGATTACAGGTGTGAATCACCGTCCCGGCCCCAGAGCCTTTTGTTAAAGTGCAACTGGCCCATGTGTGTCTGCAGCAGAGGGCTTGTGGGGAAGCTCCGAACAGGGAATTTTCACTTCGCTCAGCAGATCCTGGCTCCTCCCCCAGGCTTCTCGGGATTGCTGCATTTTGTAGCACTTGATTCCTCTGGGACAGAAAGATGCTGGGAGGAAGGGAGGACTCTGGATCCCAAGCAGCCTGCAGGGCTTTTCATTTCCTGTTTCTCTAATCTCATCACATTCTTGACCTGTTCCCTAGGCAGCTACTTTTGCTTTGAGACTTTCTTAACCTTTCAAGTCCCTCTTCTCTGGTTCCTACATCAAGCGTGGAGCCCACCCTGTTGGCCAGGGCACTGAGCTTCCTACACGGATCGGCTTCCTCATTTCCCTCCTGAAATGTGTATTTCATGTCTCTTGTCTGTGTGCCTCATCTCCTCTCCTGGAAGCCAAGGCCACAGCTGATGCCTTGTTGGAGGCAGGGGTCTGCAGGCAGACACTGAATGGACCAGCACCCATCACCAGCCCTGGCCAAGCCTGGGTCCCCTGTCACCAGGGCAGGTCTGGTCAGCTTGATTTTCAGTCTCTGAATGTTGCCTTTTTTCCCACCCAGCTGTTAGTCTGGAGGGCATTTTTCTCAAGGTCAGACCCTCTCCTGGTGCTAGAGCAAGGGACAGAAAAGATGCAAATGGAGCAAATGTTAAGCTAAAGGGTGAAACTGGGCTTCACTGAAATTCTGGGTTCACTGGGTACCAGATATCTATGCTGTGGTAGACTGAAACATGGCCCCCCAAAAGATATCCTAATTCCTGGAGCTTGTGAATCTTACCTTCTATGGAAACACGGTCTTTGCAGGTATGATTAAATTAAGGATCTTAAAATGTGGGGATTGTCCCAGATTATCCACGTGAGCCCTAAATACAACCCCATGTATCCTTAGAAGAGAGAGACAGGCTGGGCGCAGTGGGTGGCTCACACCTGTAATCCCAGCACTTTGGGAGGCCGAGGCAGGCGGATCACTGTAGGTCTGGAGTTTGAGACCAGCCTGGCCAACATGATGAAACCTCGACTCTGCTATAAATAAAAAATTAGCCATGCATGGTAGCAGGTGCCTGTAATGGCAGCTACTCGAGACGCTGAGACAGGAGAATTGCTTCAACTCAAGAGGTAGAGGTTGCAGTGAGCTGAGATCTCCTGGGTGGTAAGAGGGAGACTCTGTCTCAAAAAAAAAAGAAACAGGAGGAGCTACACATGCACCACACATACACATGGAGACAGTGATGTGACCAGAGGCAGAGTTTGAAATGCTGTGGCCACAACCCAAGGGAGGCTGGCAGCTGGAGGAGGGAAAGAACATTCTTCCCTGCAGCCTCCACAAGGGGTGCAGCCTTGCTAATGCCTTGATTTCAGTCCAATCATATTTATTTTGGATTTCTGGCCTCCAGAACTGTGAAAAAATAAACTTCTATTGCTTTATGCTATGAAATCTATGGTAATTGTTACAGTAGCCACAATAAATTAATATGCATGCCATTTTCTTTTCTTTTTTTTTTGAGACGGAGTTTCGCTCTTGTTGCCCAGGCTGGAGTGCAATGGTGCAATCTCGGCTCACCACAACATCTGCCTTCCGGGTTCAAGCGATTCTCCTGCCTCAGCCCCCCTGAGTAGCTGGGATCACAGGCATGTGCCAGCACGCCTGGCTAATTTTGTATTTTTAGTAGAGACGGGGTTTCACCATGTTGGTCAGGCTGGTCTCAAACTCCTGACTGCACGTAATCCACCTGCCTTGGCCCCCCAAAGTGCTGGGATTGCAGGCGTGGGCCACCTCGCGCCTGACCTATTCTTGTTCTTTAGGCCTAAGATGAATAGTTGACCAGACCCAAGGGGGACTGCCAGGAGGTATCTGCTAAGAGCCTGTCTCGGGAACTCAGCTGTGGAATGGAGAGTGCATTCAGCTCTTTCTCTTACCACAAGGAAATCTCTGGCACCAGATAGTTAGCATTTTACCTGTATGCTCTGTATCATCAACTATAAGGCAAGGACTATTCTCATTTACAAAAATCTGCCGTGTAACACAGCAATCTGGTAGGTGCTTAATATAAACTTCAAGGTCATAATTTGTTTCAGGAAATTATGAAGCATTCCAGAAGCTTCCACTGCCTTCAACTGCATGGTATCAATGCATCATATTTAAAAACTTAAGACTGTTGACCAAGGCCTCTTTTTTTCCTCTATTCAAACCCAGAAATTAATCAGCTGTGCATTTTAATATCCACATTTCACTGCCGCCAAGTGAGAAAGAAAATCTGCCTGCCAATTAGCACAGAATTGAAACAAGTTGTTTTTAATCTTTTGAAAATGAAAACTTGGAACCGGTGCCAGATGATTTGAAGTAGCAGGTGCGATTAATCATTCATTTATTCTATTTCTCCCTCCCATGACAATCACAACGTACTTTGATTTGGAGGGTGCCCGTGCCCTGGCATCTCTTAGGCTCTTGACAGAAGCTAATTAAGGATTAGTTTGGAAAAGGGCAACTTGTCCATTGAAGTTCATACTCGGAAAGGAAACAAATGCAGTTTGAAAATTTGCATAGCACACAACATGAGTTCAGCCAGACAACCACAAACAGAATCAGTTTGTAAAGCAAATACCAACTGGAAAGAAAACTAGAATTTAATATTCCCAAATGAAGAATGGGATATTCTTCATGTGCCCTTCAGGATTTATCTAAGGAGGGACTGGCTCAATTTTAACATCTCTTTTGCCTCCTTCAATGCTTAATGGTTCCAGACCCTTACACTTGAGGCTACAGAGTTGGGGAAGCTCTGTGATACAGAAGGGAATTTGAAAATTGTTTATTCTGTTACAGGCCAGGTGTGGTGGCTCATGCCTGTAATCTCAGCACTTTGAGAGGCCAAGGCAAGTGGATCACTTGAGGTCAGGGGCTTGAGACCAACCTGGCCAACACGGTGAAACCTCGTCTCTACTGAAAATACAAAAATTAACGGGGCATGGCGGTGCATGTCTGTAATCCCAGCTACTTGGGAGGCTGAGGCATGAGAATCACTTGAACCCAGGATGTGGGGGGCTGCAGTGAGCTGAGATTGTTCCACTGCACTCCAGCCTGGGTGACAGCAAGATTCTGTCTCAAAGGAAAAAAAAAACGTTTAGTCTGCTACATTAAATGCATCCAGTGTTTTGTTACTGTTTTGTTTTCCTGATGCAAGGAGGACTTCAGAATGTCTCTGTGGAGCTGGATTTTGGGCGTTTGAACTTACATTTTTTAAAAGTTTAATCTGATTCAGCAAATGCTCATTGAGCTCCTGCTCTGAGAGATACATGAATGAAGACACAGCGCTTCCTCCCTCCCCTCACCATGGGGGAGACAGACAGGTACACAAAGGTGACATACCTGTTAGTGCGATATGGAAGCCAGCATCTGGAATGCTTCTTAGGGATGAACATCCTTCGGCCTAGACTTAAAGGATGACTCAACATTTGCCAGGCAGATGGCAAGGAGGGACATTCCAACCTTAGAGACAGCGTCGCCTGGTGTGTTCTGTATCTCGGAGCAGAGGAAATGAGCGTGGGTTGGGAGGATGAGACCAGAGGGGGAAGCCAGGTCACGAAGTGTCTTTTAAACCATACTCAGGAGTCTGGAATTAATCCTAAAGTCAGAGCAGGCAAGCCTGGCTGCACATTACAATCACCTGGGACATTTTGAAAACCAATGGCAGCTGAAACCTCAGCCCTGACCAATTAAGTCATTCTTTGCAGGGGTGGAGCCTGGGCGTGAATTTTTTTTTTTTTAATGTCTCAGGTGATTCGAATGCTCACCAGAGCTGAGAACCACAGCCCTAGCTAAGAGGTCCGCAAAGTTTTTTCTCTAAAGGTCCTGAAAGTAATTATTTCAGCTTTGTCAGCGATAGGGTCTCTCTTGCAACCACGGAACCCTGCCATTTTGTGGGAAAGCAGCTCAGATGATATGTAAATACATGAGCATGGCCACATTAAAAATAAACTTCTCTTAAAAGGCAGGCAGGGTTATGGTTTGCCAACCCCTACTCTAGATGATGGGATGCCATTAAGAATTTAAGAAGAGGCCGGGCAGGTGGCTCACGCCTGTAATCCCAGCACTTTGGGAGGCCAAGGCGGTTGGGAGTTTGAGACTAGCATTAGCTGGGCATGGTGGCAGGTGCCTGTAATCCCAGCTATTCAGGAGGCTGAGGCAGGAGAATCGCTTGAACCCGGGAGGCGGAGGTTGCAGTGAGCTGAGATCACGCCATTGCACTCCAGAGTGGGCAACAAGAGTGAAACTCTGTCTTAAAAAAAAAGTATATTTATTCAAAATTTTTTACAGTTTATTACATAAATAATACATGAATTTGTTCACACTGTTAAGGAATCTAAATAATGCAGGCAAAGCTCAAAGCCTGTTTATTCCCTCATTCAAATACCTGTCCCTTTCCTAGATGATAAGTGTTATCAATGAGGTGTAGATTTTTCTAGAATTTTCTCCTTGCTCTTTTTGGTATGTACTAGAGAGATACAATTTTGTTTTATAAGCCTAAAAAATATATTTATTAAAGATGGCAGCCTTAGCAGTGAGCGGTGCTGTGGCACTGTGTAGAAATACCAATTGGCCAATTGCTTTTGTGAGAAAATGCCTTGCACCGTGGCATTGAGTCAGCTGAGAGAACACTTTGCACAGTTTGGCCATATAAGAAAGTGTATTGTACCTTTTGACAAGGAGGCTGGTTTTGACCGAGATTTGGGTTGGGTTCAGTTTTCTTCAGAATAACTTCAGAATACACTACAACAGGAGACTCAGAGATGGAGTGAAGCTCCAGGTTCAAGCTCAAAGGCCAAAAGTTTTGCAAAGATCTGATGAAGAGAAAGATTTTTGAGACTGACAGCCTATTAAATCAAGTTAATATAACTGAGAAAAAAAATATATATATTGAGTCCAGGAGTTTGAGACCAGCCTGGGTAACACAGTGAGACCCTGTCTATACAAAAAATAAACAAAATTAGCTGGGTATAGTGGTGTGTGCCTGTAGTCCTAGCTACTCAGGAGGCTGAGGTGGAAGGATTGCTTTAGCCTGGGAGGTCAGGGCTGTAGTGAGCTGAGATTGTACCGCTGCACTCCAGCCTAGGTGACGGAGTAATACCCTGTCTTAAAAAAAAAAAAATATATATATATATATATATATATATATATATATATACACATACATATACACACACATATACTCTCTCTCTCTCTCTCTCTATATATATATATATATATATGTATGTATATATATTTAAGACAGGGTACTACTCTGTCACCCAGGCTCTCTGAGAGAGAGAGAGTGTGTGTGTGTGTGTGTGTGTGTATTTAAGACAGGGTATTTCTCTCTCTCTCTCTCTCTCTATATATATATATATATACACACACTCTTTATATATAGTATATAGAGAAAGTGTGAATATATATATATATATATATATAGAATATGTTTATATTGTGTGTGTGTGTGTGTATATATATATATATATGTATGTATTTCTTTTTTTTTGTGACAGTCTCACTCTGTCACCTAGGCTGGAATGCAGTGGCATGATCTTGGCTCACTGCAACCTCTGCCTCCCGGGTTAAGTGATTCCCCTGCCTCAGCCTCCTGAGTAGCTGGGACTACAGGTGCATGCCAGCACACCCGGCTAATTTTTTTTTTTTTTTGGCATTTTTATTAGAGATGGAGTTTCACCATTTTAGCCAGGATGGTCTTGATCTCTGGACCTTGTGATCTGCTTGCCTTGGCCTCCCAAAGTGCTGGGACTACAGGTGTGAGCCACTGTGCCTGGCGTAGGTATTTCTTAAACTTGCTTTTTCCCCTACATAATAATATGTCTTGGAGTATTTCCACAGCAGCAAATATATATCTCTTTTTAGTTTTTGCATAGCATAATAAAATATGAAATATGAAAACCCCCATGGCTCATTTAATAATTTTCTGAGAGAGGTTGAACTGTTTGGAATTGCCAACATTAAACTGTTTTATCCTACAAAGTGGCATTTTCAAATGGTTCAGCCTCATAGTCTGTGCTTGATTTTTGGCCATCACAAGCATTACTGCCACAAGCATCTTGCAATGTGTGCTCATGTGTGTATCGCTGGGGCAGATTCTGAGACATGGACCTGCTGGGTAATTGTGCCTAGCAGTTAGAAAGGAGTCTTTGGTTAAACCCCAGACACTGACTCTGGCAAACTTCAACATAAAGGAAAGCTATTGGCAGAGTATAGGGCAGCTCAGAGGAGGGGCAGAAAGGCCAGCGACCTGCTTCCTGATGGATGGGTGGGGCCCAAGCTTGGCTTTGGGCCCTGTCTCACTCCATTGAAGTCCTGCCAGAGGGTTGACCTTGTGTCACAGTGATGGGGAGTGAGGCTGGCAGTGGCTTCCAGGGACCCCTTTGGCTTCTATAATGAGAGGACAGAGCACCTTGATTTTTTGGTCAAGATTGTACACAGTAGGGAGTGCTAATTCTCTAAAAGAAAATCTAGTTCCTTTCTAAAGAGGGAGAATGGCTTTCAGGAGGTCAAAAAAATGTCTTCAGTCAATGTGTTGTGGCTCATGCCTGTAATCCCAGCACTTTGGGAGGCTGAGACAGGTATCCACCTGAGCTTGAGCTCAGGAGTTCAAGGCCAGCCTGCGCTACCTGGCAAAATCTAGTCTCTATCAAAATTAAAAAAAAATAATAAATAAAAACATTTCTTCATATTAGTGTTTTAGTTCATTTTCTGCTGCTATAACAGAATATCGCAGACTGGGTAATTTATAAAGAACAGAGATTTATTTTCTCACAGTTCTGGAGGCTGGGAAGTGTAAGAGCATGGTGTTGGTGTCTGGCAAGGGACTTTGTGCTGTGTTGTCCCACAGTGGTAGGTGGAAGGGTCAACAAGAGAGAAAGCATAAGGGACCAGGCTTGCTTTTATAATAACCCACTCTCTACGTAAGTGACCCAGTCCTGCAATAATGACACCAATCCATTATTAGGTCTCTTATTAGGCCTGATGAGCTTTTCTTGGGCCTCAGCTTCCAATACTGTTCCATTGGAGATTCAGTTTCCAACACGTGAATTTTGGGGGAGACATTCAAACCATGACACTCACAACACTTAATTGTATTAATCTTTAAAATTCTAACCAATAAAATAAGTAGAAAAGAGTGACTCGCTCCAGCATGTCTGAACAGAACTGGGCAAGCTCCAAACCCTGGTGCATGCCATTCCTTATTTGGAAACCCTCCTGACCTTCTCCTGACTAGCTTCCTTTCATTTCTTGTATTTTTCCTCGTCTTCTTTCCCCTTATCTATTCAGGAAATTTCCAAAATTTTAGCCAATCAAGTCAAACATAGAGTGTGAGGTCCCATTCTGGTCAATGGAAACTGGACACAGCAGTAGGGCGATTGCATCAGGTTATGAAAGTTATAAATGTCCCTGTCTCCTTTGTTCAGGGGTGCTCTCATGGCAAGACTGCTGGTAAGTTGCGCCCTTCCTTACAGGAAGTAAACTAGCCTTGCTGAGTGAAAATAAAAAGAAAGAAAAAAAGAAAAGAGTGGTATCTAATTGTTCACTGGTGAGGCTGAACATCTTTCTCATATTTATTAGTCAGTTGGATTTCCTTTTCCAAGGGTTTCCTGTTCATATCTTTTGTGGATTTTAAATCAATTTCTGTGACTTTTAAAAAAAGTTTGCTTTGTGCCAGGTGTGGTGGCTCATGCCTATAATCCCAGCACTTTGGGAGGGCAAGGCGGGCAGATCACAGTCAGGAGTTTGAGACCAGCCTGGCCAACGTGGTGAAACCCCCTCTACTAAAAATATAAAAATTAACTGGGTGTGGTGGTGTACACCTGTAATCCCAGCAACTTGGGAGGCTGAGGCAGGAGAATTGCTTGAATCTGGGAAACAGACGCTGCATTGAGCTCACATCAGGCCACTGCACTCCAGCCTGGACAACAAAGCAAGACTCCACCTCAGAAAAAGAATGTTTGCTTTGTAAGGGTTCTTTGTATGTTCTGAATGCAATTCTTAATCTAAGTTATAAATATGGTGACTGTGTTCTCACCTTACCTTTTAACTCATTCATGGCGTCTTGAAGAGGTTAAAGGAGGGGAGGGACATGGTCAGTCTTGTGATTCAGCTCAGCCTAGAAGATCACTGATGGCTATAAATGGCCAAATTGGATGGCAGCTCTAAGGTTCTGAGTACGGTCAGAGACAAGGAGACTCACACTCATTGGAAGGAAAATGGGAGGATCAGTGATTCTCATTCCAGCAAAAACCTGGAATAATGAAAACTTATGGGAAAGAGGTCACTGATAACCAGCACCCACTGGGTGAGTCCAAGTGGTCTGACACAGTGGAACCTGCCAAAGAAGAGGCGAGGGCTCCCGTTAAAAGCCAGTTAACTCAGTGAACTCAGCAAGTACCATTTTTCAAGTTAGGGGCAGGAAGCTTCCTAAATAACGTATTTCTTTCTTTCTTTTTTTTTTTTTTTGAGGTGGAGTCTCACTCTATCTCTCAGGTTTGAGTGTAGTGGTGCGATCATGGCTTACTGCTGCCGTGACCTCCCGCTGGCTGTGATCTGAGGTTAGCGGATCATCTGAGGTCAGGAGTTCAAGGTCAGCCTGGCCAACATGGTGAAACTCCATGTCTACTAAAAATACAAAAATTAGCCAGGTGGCAGGCGCCTGTAATCTCAGCTAATCAGGAGGCTGAGGCAGGAGAATCGCTTGAACCCGGGAGGCGGATATTGCAGTGAGCCGAGATCACACCATTGTACTCCAGCCAGGGGAAGAAGAATAAAACGCTGTCTCAAAAAAAAAAAAGACAAACTGGGTCTCACAGGAATGACGTTGCTGATAAAATGATGACTTAGCAAGAGCTGCTCTGTCTTCCCAGGAAGACTTGTCTTTACCAAAACAATACTGGAGACATTAAAGAAAGAAGAGAGGGCTGGGCATGGTGGCTCACACTTGTAATCCCGGAAACCTAGTCTCTACTAAACATACAAAAAGCAGCTGGGTGTGGTGGTGTGCACCTATAGTCCCAGCTACTCAGGAGACTGAGGTGGGAGGATCACTTAAGGCATGGAGGTTGAGGCTGCAGTGATCCCTGATCACACCACTGCACTCCAGCCTGGGTGATAGAGTGAGACCTTGTCTAAAAACAAAATTGAAAAAAAGAAAGAAAGAATAGAGAAGCATTTATTAAGAAACTGATGTCAGGATGTCAGGCTGGGCTCAGTGGTTCACACCTGTAATCCTAGCACTTTGGGAGGTTGAGACAGGTATATCATGTGATGTCAGGAGTTCAAGACCAGCTTGGCCAACATGTTGAAGCCATGTCTCTACTAGAAATATAAAGATTAGCCAGGTGTGGTGGTACATGCCTGTAGTCCTAGCTACTTGAGAAGCTGAGGCTTAAGAGTTGCTTGAACCCAGAGGCAGAGGTTGCAGTGAGCCAAGATCATGCCACTGCTCTCCAGCCTGGGTGGCAGTGTGAGACTCCCCGCCAACAACAAAATAAAACAAAAAAGCTGTTGTCAAAACTATGCCTCTAGGTTCCTGATGGCTGTCAGCTGGTGTGTGTGTGTGTGTCTGTCTGTGTGTATATGTCTCTGTCTGTGTGTATATGTCTGTGTCTGTGTGCGCGTTTGCATGTGTGTGCAACTGTCACTGCCTACGCAGTGGTTCTCAAAGTGGTTCCTAATCAGCAGCATCCTTATCATATGAGAATGTGATAAAGCACAAACTCAGATGCACGTTAGACCTACTGAGTCAGACACTCTGGCAGTGGGGCCCAGCAATCTATGTTTTACCAAGCGCCCGGTGACACTGATGCATACCAGCCTATGAAAACCACAGGCCACCATTGCCCTGAGAAGGAAATC